CTCTAGGAGAAAACCTGCAGTATGGAGAGAATATTGGCCTCCTACGGAGCTTCTTCAAAGTTCTCCTTCCCACTGCCCCTGCCGTGAGTGTGGAGCTGGCAATGGGTACCGTCGCTGTCAGTTACCGTAAGTAAATACCCCCCGAACACACACTCACACAAACTGCTTAGTCTTAAATCCAACAGGTCACCCTCAGTATTATCTTTATTTCAGCCGCAATTAGTGGCATTGGTGTTCGCCTCATGCTGTTTTTCCTCTTTGGAGCGATAATCTTCTGCTTTGGCTACAAGCAAGCTCTTAAGATAGTAAGTACTGCCGTTGTAGCTAGTCTTTAATTTTGGCACTGTGCGTTTTTCCATTTCCGTTCTAATATGCCGTTTACCTTTACTTCCTATGAAGTATGCAGTCCTACTTGGAGGTCTTGTGTGCGCACTGATCATAGCCACAGTCGTCACGTTGGGTAGCCAAACATACGTGAGTCCGCTCTTTTATGCTCTCAACTTGAACAACTGTCTACTACTGCTGATGACGCGGCGGAATTCGCATTTTCGGCTTCGTCGAAGTAACTATAGTCAGTTTATTTCCTTTCACTAGCTAACGGAGAGGGCTGCTTTGTATATGAAGGAATACTTGACTACGTATAAGGATGAGCACCGTGCCGAAAATATTCTGGCAGTTGAGACCTGGAATACCATGATGAGGGTACGCGGCATTCTTTTTATTCAACTAATTTTTCCGATTGTTCATATATTTTTTCTGGGAGCATACCTGTGATCCTGTGAGACAAGATATCGGCATGAATTACTAAGATTTCCGTGGGGGGTCATTGTCATATGTGGATGGACTGCGTCCTACTTGGGAGACTGCCAATGACCAAGTATTAAAGGTAAACTTGCCTACTACTATGAGATAAGTAGACATTTATGCGAAAAATAAGCTGTAGCGAGCCTGAAACGTAATTGTCGCCAAATGTTAAAATATTGAAGGTAACATAGAGTTGAAAATATGCCATATTAGATTTACGATATAACCCACCAAACCATATTAGATAGGTGAAATTGTTTACGTTTTTGTTTTTCAGACCTCCCGGAAATAATAGTTTTCTAACCGCAGGCGAAAAATGTGAAAATGGGCACAATAGAACTCAATCAGATAAAACTTAATACATAAATGCGTATGAGTGCAAGTGCAGAAAATTGTCAAAAGAATTAAAGATGGATAAATAGAAGGACGCAATGCTCGGATGACGGAAAAAAACGGTCATGGCTTGCATTAGAATTTTCTTGTTTTTATTATTACTTGCTCCATTAAATTTAAAGATATGTTTGAGGTGATCGAGTCCAGAATAATTCATGGAAATAAAAAGTAACCTGGAACAGCAGAAACTGCGATTATAACACGGCTGAACTGCAAGCAATCTGCGAAACCTCTCATGTGTTTTAATCGATGAATTCGAAATTGTTTTAAGATATTCCTAAATTTACTCAGATACAGCACTGAATATTGTCATCCTTTATTAACGTTTGCAGGCAAGTGAGGCGAGTTGATTGATTTTCGACAGAAAACTGTCCTTTTGCTGGGTCGAATTCATTCACTCAAGTCAGACAAATCAGACTAGTTGTGACGAGTATAAACGAGTATAAAAACACTCGCGTAGCACTCCAAAAAGTCTTAAGAAATTAAATTTTTTCTGTTCATCCTAACTAATACATTTAACCATAGTTTTTTCCAAAAATTCAAAATTTATGATACCCTTTACGTTAAACCGCGGGGCACCGTCATCGGGGGTTACTGGAGCTGTAATGATATTAAACACCACACGCAAACTAAGTTTGATCAGGGCCCTGAAATGGCGCGAAAATAAAATTTAAAAATGCTAGGTGACATACGCACATCGCCGAATGTATACTGGAACTGGCTAGAAAAGGTGTGTAACGGATGTTTATTTTGTTCTCCTCTTGTTCACATACCTCTAGGAAGGAGGTTATCACTGTTGTGGACTCAACGGCTACAGGGATTTTACAGGTAGGATTCGACTCTAAAGCGTTCAGCTAGGACGATTTAATGTACTGTCAGTTAAGATTACTCAACCCTTATTTTTCTATGAATCAGAATATATCTTTTCCTCGTTGTGTGCAGACAAATTTAAAATGCCAACGCCCTGTTGTTCTATGGATGATAACGTCCTGGCCGAATCCTGTAGCTACAACACTGCAGCCGCGATGTACCCGGCCGTACCGGGTTGTACGGGAAAGATCAACATTTACTTCGAGCTCATCAGACCCCGCTTCACAGTCCTTGCTGTCTCTCTTCTCATGCCTCCGGTAAGATTCTTGAGACAAAGCTTTCTATGGACGAAACTAAATTTGACAGTAATAAAATTTTAAAAAAACAATCCTTAAAAGAAATGAAAGAAAAAGTAGATAGTCATTGTTTGCCATATCTTTTAGCATGTGCATGTATAATTTTCCAAGGGGAGTGGACAATATGTGATATTTTTAGCAACTTCTCCCGAGGAGCCCTTTGCGTTTCTAAGGTAACCCTAGTTGTAAAAGGGAGAAAGAGAGAGAAATACGCTTTATTTTGAAAAAAATTCTTCATAATACTCAGAAATAATGACACCATTCCCTGGCCCAACAGAAAAAGTTAACAAAATACGCAATAATTTGAAGGTTTACATAAAATGCACATCTGCTATGGAAAGAGTTTCAAACTCAGCTTCCGTATTTCAGTGTCTGTGTACAGGAGGTAACGTGCTAGAATAGCAATACAACACATTGACAGGCCAATTTGGGGTAGGACATATATCGGAATCCTCGGCGCATGGTACGGAGTCTTAGCAGTCATTATGTCAGACTGGAGGGGGTGGGCAGCAGCATCAAAAATTCGGTCAGCGAATTGCATAACCGCTCTTAATTGGAGCTGTGTAACAATACAAAATAAAAAGTATAATAAATCTGCCAAAATACGAGATAACAATAATTCATAGAGCACTTGGTTTTAACAGATTTTACAAGCCATGCCAAACAGATGTTGCTAGGCGTAAGAATCTGTAGTTAATTTGTTTTTCAAATGACTCAGGTTATGGAACGCAGTTCATATTTTGCGACAAACTTCTTCATTTTCAGGTACTTGTCCTAATCGCCGTCATCTTTACGGTTATCTCCTAACCAGTGAACTGGAAACTGGGTGCCGTTTGCAGGTAAAGAAAGTTGACTTATTTTATTACATTTTTAACTCAAGCAATCCATTTCTCCTCGTAAGTGATGTTGTGCCAGAATTTATTGATAATTTTCCTATCACTTGGCACGATAGGCAGCATTTATTCCGCGAGGCTAGCCATCGTTATTTATCTCTCAAAAATGGAAACCCGAACATTAAAATTTTAAATCGCTGAGTTGCAAATTTGTGAATGTGTGCCAAATGTAAGTCATCAATGAGGGGACTTAATGTTGCTGATCAGAACAGTTTTGTTTCGGACTTACGCTTCGGAGAGTTTGGCGGGCTCTCCACTGTCAAAGTTTCGACCGTCACATTCGATCAGCCAAGCAAAAATACGAATGTCATTTAAGCAGTTCACAGAAGGTTTCGAAAAATATCGAATTCATTTTCTCGTAAGGCTGACATTTGGAATTCTCCTACATTGTGTAAGAGGGAAATCGCATTAGTTTTTTCTGTGTGGTTAACGCTGCGACATTTAATGCGTTCAAATGCTGTTCTCGCAAAGGTATGGGGCACTAGAACGAACGATTTGGATTAGGTAAAGCCTGTGGGAGGCTTAACATTGGAACCGACAAGAGCATATGTGTTGTGAATGCAGCCAAAGCTGCGATATCGCCGTCTAATTAAGCCTTGTGGGAGTCCCCAAGGAACAAGGCGACAAGAACAGGGCAAAAGTAGAAATCTTTTACCATACCTAGTACAAAGTACTTATAGCAAGCAACGCATACAAGATTGGACCAATCAAATTGTGCTTTTGAGGGGTAACATTCTGACTAACTGTCGATCTGGACAGAGTGATAGCGTAGAACACTAATCATGGCTGGCGGTTTGATCGATCTCATCACTTGCGCGGCTTGTACTGCTCGATATTGCACCGTTGGATGAGTAATCGGGACAGCGTAGTAACTCATCGTTAGTCCTGCCCCTAACAATGTGCTTTTATGTTTAATAGTCTAAGGTAAATATTCAATGCATTGTTATTTATTCAAAAAAGAATGCATTGATGCGTGCCAATTCCTGTTTGACTTAATTCCAAATCTGAAGCCACAGAGACACTGATGAGCTTTAGTTCGATGGAGCGCTTAGAACCCGCCTGCTAGACCCAGTGTTTGGACTATCTGCACCGTACTCGAGAGATTCTTTGTGTTTCCAGTCCCAGGTGGTAGGCAAAGTTATGGTTTACTAAATGAAGACAGAATGAGCCCGTAACAGATAGTATCAATCAACCTGCACCCTTTTGCAATTATTATTTTTTTAATTTTTTAATAAGGTAGGGTAACTTTTGAAACCAATTATCAAGAATACTGGTTTGAAAATTCCAAAGCCTCTCTCTTAAGGGTCTTCTGCGACCCTACCACACTCTGCCTTCTGTTAACTTTGAGGTCATAAGTTGTTTAACTCAGGTTACAAGAGTACTGGGTTGTTTAAAGCTCGACCAGCTTCACGGAGCAAGGATGGCTAGAAGAGCCGTTACAAAACTAAGCGCCGTAGAAGTGTGTAAAGTTACAGTCAGCAATGCTTGCATCACTTTAGTATGGCTATCGCTCCGATAAGAGTAATTGAGAATAATTCTCTCTGCAGTTTAACATACAAGCCATGTTGGTGCAGCTTAGAAGTTACGCACACCTTATAAGTATGTGTGGTGAATGCTCCACAGTGACAGACTAATGCTTAAGAGTTTTCAGCCCCTGACCGTATGGTGGCGTTGGCCATTTTACTTACTTGTAAGTGTTACGGCTGCGATCAGGACTGATCTAGCCGGCCTCAATTTTGTCCCGTATGGTGCTTCTCCACGCGCGACGATCCGTGGCCGCAGACCTGGA